TGGTTGTGGTGCCACTTGCAGAGCCACAGTATGTGTTTGGGTGTAGCGGGCACACTGCGCAGATAGCATGTTTTGGGTTTGTCGCCCTGCTTGTAATGATGGCCGCCTGGTTCCAGGTCTTGATGTGGTTGCTCTGTGTGGTGGAGAGCTTCCTTTGTGCTTGTCGAGCCACTGTCCAGTCGAGTTGGTGCGTTGTTGGGCGGCCTCTTGAATGAGGGCTGCTTCAACTATCCCCCAGTCATCAGCCAAATTGATGTGGGCCTCGGTCATAAAGGCCTTTCTTTAGGTTTCAGGTGCCTTTCAGACAATGGGTTGCGCCGAAATCGGCTTTACTTGAATGCCACTGATGGCAATGCCTTTGGGCCCCCTCCCTACCCCTGGCCTCTGTTGCTATCCCACCCGCTATTTAGGGTAACAGAAGGAACTCGCACTCAACGCACTTGTGTGTTGGCGCCTTTCCTTCTGTTTCTCCTGTCCTACTCCTAGCTACCCGGGCGGTTTAAGACAAAAGTCCCGCTCGCTAACTATTTTCATTTAACTAAGTGGGCCTCGTCGCTATACCTATCTTTCCTTCTTGCCCTCTTCGTGTGCTTTTGTTTTGTTTTCTTTGCCGGTCTTTCTAAGGCTTTTTAGGTGACTAGTAATTTTCCGGAACGCCGATATCGGCGTTATGTGTACAAAGCTGTTGCGCAAAAAATCGTTTCACGCAAGGGGTACAGAGCGCCGATTGCGGCATAGTGTGTGTGTGTGTCCACACCTGTGCCTAAGGTTTTCAGTCACAAAGAACGCTACTAGGGCCCCTGGTTTTGCTACTAAGGGCTCCTGATATCGCTACTAACATATAGTTTCTCAGCGAGAAAAGAGGCAGGGGGCCACAGACCTGCCACTGCTGCTGTGGCCAACGAAGACCGGCAGTGGTAGGTGTGAAAACGTACCTGCAAAACTGTTTAAAACTGTTTAAAGCGGCTAGTGCATAGGCGGTCTGCTAGGTATTGAGTAAAGCGGCTAATGCGTAGGCGGTCTGCTAGGTATTCAGTAGAGCGGCTAATGCATAGGCGGTCTGCTAGGTATTCAGTAAAGCGGCTAATGCATAGGAGTTGAAACTTTGTTAAACATCTACAAGTTCGCCGGCTCAGCCACCTTTCGGTTTGTGCTTCATTCCGTTCATCAAGTCAAGGGGAACTTCGTACTGATACTAGCTCTTGCGAGCAACAATCTAAGTGTGTTTTCGCCACAGGGTCCCACTGAGGGCTGTGGTGTGATCCCCGTCGGCGCTGCGTGTGCATAGACCCAGATCCTGGGGGATACCACGCCGCAGGGCTTACTGAGACTCACACTCCAGTCCAGACTTACATTTTGGATTGACTGTCTTTGCTTGATACCACTGATCCGATGCCGCAGGGCTTACTGAAACTGTGCCGCAGGGCTTACTGAGATTTCAACCGATTCGGAGTAATCACAGGCGGGGCTTAGGACGCGGGCATGTCAAACCAGCGACTGCTTTTGTTGCGTGCGCTTTTCATGCTCTTCGGTTCTTTCTATCTTTTTGTTGCTTTTCGTTTCTTGAGGCCTTTCTTTAGGTTCCAGGTGTCTTTCAGACAATCGGTTGCGCCGGCCCAAATCGCTTTACTTGAATGCCAATGATGGCAAGCCTACGGGCCACCCTAACCCACCCTCCCCCCTACCTCCCTGCCCCTGGGTCTCTGTTGCTATCCCGCCCGCTATTCGGGCAACAGAAGGAAATCGCACTCAACACACTTGTCCCCCTACCTCCCTGCCCCTGGGCCTCCGTTGCTATCCCACCCGCTATTCGGGCAACAGAAGGAAATCGCACTCAACACACTTGTGTGTTGGTGCCTTTCCTTCTGTTTCTCCTTTCCTATTGCTAGCTACCCGGCGGTTTAAGAAGAAATGTCCCGCTCGCGTTCTACTTTCATTTAACTAAGTGGGCCTCGTAACTACACCTATCTTTTTTTCTTGCCCTCTTAGTCTGCTTTTGTTTTGTTTGCTTAGGCTTTCACTCTCTTTCTAAGGCTTTTTAGGTGGCTAGTACTTTTCAAAAAGCGCCAATATTGGCGCTATGTGGGGGCTTCTGGCCTCCCTACCAGGAGCCAGGACGGTACTCCTAGGGGCCTCTGACCTTTCTACGGGGTGTAAGGACGCTACTAGCGACTCCTGGCCACGCTACAAAACTGCAAGCAAGGGTCAGCGCGCCGAGTACGGCTTCGTGTGTGTGTGTCCACACCTGTGCCTAAGGTTTTCAGTCACAAAGAACGCTACTAGGGCCCCTGGTTTTGCTACTAAGGGCTCCTGGTATCGCTACTAACATACAGTTTCTCAGCGAGAAAAGAGGCAGGGGGCCACAGACCTGTCACTACTGCTGTGGCCAACGAAGACCGGCAGTGGTAGGTGTGAAAACGTACCTGCAAACCTGTTTAAAACTGTTTAAAGCGGCTAGTGCATAGGCGGTCTGCTAGGTATTCAGTAAAGCGGCTAATGCATAGGCGGCCTGCTAGGTATTCAGTAAAGCTGCTAATGCATAGGAGTTGAAATTTTGTTAAACGTCTACAAGTTCGCCGACTCAGCCACCTTTCGGTTTGTGCTTCATCCGTTCATCAAGTCAAGGGGAACTTCGTACTGATACTAGCTCTTGCGAGCAACAATCTAAGTGTTAACACCTGTTTCCAAGGTTTGTGCCTGGTAAGTATGCCTGCCGTAGATTTTACTAGAAGGCTGGATGCTACTAGTAGCTCCTGGCCTTGCTACTAGGAACAAAACTGAAACTAAAACAGCGCGAGCAAAAAGAGGCAGGGGGCAGTGACAGAGTTTGTGGAATCACTGCCAACGAAGACGTCCACATTCTCTGGTGATGCATCGGGAGACGTCCTGATGTGTACCTGCAAACTTTTAAGTCCTTTCCTCACGTTTCACCCATGTTCAAACCTTCTGTTACTCCGACTCAGCACTCCATACCGTTTTGCAAGTCAAGGTCTACAATGCAGCTGGTAATGTAATCGCTAAAGTGGGACTTCATTCTGATCCTAGCTCTTGCGAGCAACCATCTAAGTGTGGGTGTGTATGTGTGGGTGTGTATGTACGTGCGTGTATGTGTATGTGTATGTGTGTATGTGTGTATTTCTGTCTGTCTGTCTGTCTGTCTGCATGGATGGATGGATGGATGGATGGATGGATGCATCTATTTCTGTGTGTTTGTTTGTGTGTTTGTTTCTGTGTTTGTATATGTATTTGAATGAGTGAGTGAATGAATGAATGTATATATACATATACTGTGTATATATATATATATTTCTTTTCACGATTTTAACCACTGGGCTTTGCTGTGCTCCAGCACCCTAAGGACCGCATCAGTGGCTGCATGTCTTACTATTTTGTCGTCGAGTTCTCAGTGATACTGCTTCACTTTGCCGCGCACCTTTGTTTTTTGCACGTTAAACACCAAAAACAAACAGGCCGCCATACTCTCCAGTGTTTCGGAAATGACACACACATACACACATTTCAGCAACTATGACTGACATACAACAAACTCCGAAAGGTTGATCAAGGGAGAACTGGGCCAAATGAATCCCTTTAGCCACAGGCCTCCTGCTTCGCGGCGGGGTTTGGGAGGAGTTGGACAAACACCAGACCCCAGACTTGCCCAAACCATTCATACACAGCAGGTTTCTCTATTTAAGGTTTGGCTGATGAAGAGGACGGCAATTGTTTCAACAAAGGATACCACCCCTGATCCTCAAGGAAGAAGGCTCAGTGACCACTGGGTGGAAAATCTTTAGCTGAGACTACACCGGCAACACGTGATACACACGGACGATGAACATGTTATCCTCGACTCTAGACAGACTAGTTCCTTCCTGTCGTCACCTCCTGCAATCTCTGTTTGACATCATCCAACTTGGTCATGGCTGTGTGCTTGAAGGTTGCTTAACAAGCAGCTGAGGGCAGTTGACCTCCCCTCATTGCGTTTGCACTGCTGGGCCTTCAATTCGAATAGGGGTTGCAGCAGCGAGTTGATGTCAGTTGCCGTTTCCGTGACTAGCTCCGCTGCTGATCATGGCTTTACTCTCACTTGAAGGGAGAAGAATAGGAAGATTGGCGGGAAGCAGGGAGAAAGAAGGAAGGGAAGGTCGAAGGTCATGAAAAAGGAACGAAGCGAAGGGGGGCAGAAAGCGGACACCTAAAGGAAGCTAGGATGCAATTCTTAAACTGTCATGAGTCATGCCCCTACTTTTCTTTGGCTCGTTGATGCAGATTCTTTTGGTTTGCCAACGCGTGTTTGAGCTACGGGTCCGTCAGTGAAATGCGTCCGCACTTACATAATTTGTATATACAGTAATACAGTATATAATATATATATTATGTAATTAGGTTACTTTGTTGCTAAAGTTTGGGACGTGCAGTCATATGCATGCCGACTGTGACTGAATCACTCTATTCGCACGAAGAGTTTTGACCCCTGCAGAATGAGGTACACTGCGACAGGGGTGGTTTCTTCAGTCAGTGCTGCAGACTATTTGAAATGCTCGCCAATGTTCTCTGGAATTGAGAGTGCCTGTTTCTTAGTGATGCAAGCTGCTTTGGCCACCCTATTCTTTCTGGAGCTAGGCTATTATAAGCGTTCAAGGAGTATTCTCTTGCTCTGTCAGGTTCCAACTGCAATTTGCATTTTGGGCTTCTTCGCAGCTTGTATGCTGATGGGCATGCAGGATCTTTGCAGTAGAATCTTGGGCATTTATCAACAAAATCCCATGTGCAAGGAGAGCTCAGCTGTCGCCTCGATGCTGTTCGTGTTTCACCTGCTGGATTCTCAAATAGGATGAAGTCTTGCACCTCTAGGGCGATGTCGGTGAGGTCAGTCTTCTTCATCCTCGGAACATTCTGTGTGATCTTCTTGCAGGACATAATGAAGCAGTCAGTGTGACTTATGGAGCATGCGAAGGGCAGTGATTCTCTTGAGGATGCCGGACTGGGGCAATTGTACGACAATCTTGCATGGGAAAGGTGCATTCTTGCTATGACCACCGGATTCGTTCAACCAACAAAGTCGAGCCAGCTCATGTGAGGCAGCCACCTTTCTGGAATTCAATCTTTTTTGGCTTTTCCTCTGCAATGCTTGGGGTGTCTGGCTTTGCACCCAGAACATTTCCTCTTTTTGCAAGCACAGCAGTTCAGCTGAAAGATGCCTTTTTGGAGCACATCTTAGGTTTTGAGACATCAGCAAACTTTGTCGAAGAGCAAAAGCCAGGTCAGACTGGGGAGTTGGTCAAAGTCACATGAAGTATGAAACTACATCCTGTGCAGGTGTTTTTCCGAAGACTCTACGGAACATGTGGGTCGCTGTTTCCTTCATCAACATCATACTTCCAAGCTTAGCTGTGGCAACATCCTCGGCATGACTCGATAGACTGCAAACATCATCCCTAATTTTAGCTGAGGCTGTGCTTCCTTTGGACGACTTGACTGGTCTCACCCCGAGAGTCATTTTCACAATTAGACAAGTGAAAATTGTAAGAGAAGTATGATGAACAACTTGAGACCAAGGCGAGAAATCCGCATACGCACTTGCCTTCCTGGCAGAAAGAGCCCAGATCCCGAATCATTTTGGTGCTCCATCAAGATGTTGAACATCAGCTGTGCTTTGAGGTTGCCGGCCCATTTCTTAGAGACGTAGTTGCCGTTGATGCCTTTGCCCCAGCTTCAAATTGCTGTGATTTGGTTGAAGCTGCTTCGCCTGTATATTTGGCTTCGTAAAGCCTCCCCAGAGAAAGGCATATATATATATATATATATTTGGGGTTGATCTCAAAAATAAGTGCTTAAGTGATCCATGCAGGTCCTTCTCAACCCTTTCTTCACTTCTGTGGTTTTCCCTTCTCTTTGCAATCACTTCACCTGGATATCATACGCTGCAAAGGAACAGTAACCTCACCATCCTTGAAGGAAATGTCAATCTTGACCCACTTCTCGTTTCTTCTCCTTTCTTGTGTGTGGTAGGATGCCGGTCATCTTGTGAGGACGGACCCGACCAAAAGCGCAGACGCTAGCCGACACTTTGCTGCCAAACGTTTATTGGACAAATTTGTGCCTGGCGCGCTTGCCACCTGACAATTTAGAACACCACTGGACAAATCAGCAAGAAAGTTCCTGGGGTTTGAGTTGGGTCAAATCAACTTGGATGCGTGTTTCTTACAGAGCCGACAATGTTGCTGGTCCAACCATCTCCAATGCATGCTAGAATGTAAGAGCCATCAGTCCTATGCCAGTGCTGGTCTAGCCAGCAACAAATGTGCGAATTTGTGCGAAATCCAGGTGCGCACCCGCTGTTGAGCAGTCAAGCCATGCAGATTCTTCTGGGTGCATAAAAGCCACAGGAGCCCATAAGGATGTGTCACGTGGTCTTGGCAAAAACGGATGACTTTGTGGGACCCACATTAAACAGTGAGCCGCAAAGAAAACAGAGTGCAACACCACACACTTAAGTTTTTTGCGTACGGATGTGAATGCCACTCGCCACACGGCGACCTAGGTAACCAAGTGCCTAAGGGTTCAGGCGAGTTACAAAACTGAATGACTCCACGAAACCTCCAAGGCCTCCAGAGCAAAACCGAAATGACTTGCCGCTGCATTAGCCCTTTAATCGCAAAGACACGAAGTGCAGAAACAACGTATTGGACAGCTTTAGCCATACTTAGGTTCTCAAAAGCAGTTACACCAGGTTGATCAGACCTGGCTTCCACCATCACGCATAGCTTCGTTGGCGTGCGTTTGCGTGATGGCCGCATGCCCCCTGCTGAAAAAGGAAACAATCCAAAAGGAACCTTGTGACTCCAAAGGTTACACACACCCCTCCCTGAGGGGAGGCGAGAAGCGCTGAGGTCGGGACAAAGTGTAAGTGTGCACGCCCCCCCGAGGGGAGGCAAAAAGAATTAAGGCTAGGACGGTTGTGAGAGTGTGGGCGCAGCAAAGACAAAAGAATGAAGACATGAAAAGGGCGGGCCAGACGGGGCGAAGGTGTATGTGGTTGCGATGAAAGGGAACCAAGTGCACAGGGACAACCAATGAAAACCCGCCTCATTATAAAGACCTTGGCGACCTGAAGCCTAGGTTGAAGTAGGTTGTGCACGTACACACTAAGGCCGGGACACATGTGCGTGCAAACGAAAGAGCCGGCCGGGACCCATGTGCGTGCAAACGAAAGAAAGGATGAGATGGCCAGACATGAAGACAGGATGACATGAAAGAACGGAAGAAAACAGATGTGTGTAAAGGGGGAAAGGATGAAAAGAGAACCAAATGGAGGGGACGCGAACCGATGAAGCCAAACCTCATTAGAAACACCTGGGCAAGCCTCGTTTACATGTAGACGCTGTATGTGGTCCCGACTGACTCCAACGAGTCTTGAACAAGCTTCGGCCGCTGCGGCCACGTACGCCGTGCAAAAATGGTTGGCAGCTTTGACCGCCGTGGTCACGTAAAGGCAAAGGCCAGCTTAGAATTCAATGCTTCGTCAAGTCTTGGCAAATAACTTTGGCCTAAGCCTACTTTGTCCGCTGCGGACTACTCTGGTCCCGGGCGCAGGGACGAAGACAAACCCCCGTTCAACGGGTCCACAGGGGCCACTCTGCGGGGTCGCCCTGGGCTGGCATGAAGCCAGACACACTTAAGTTTTTTGCGTACGGGTGTGAATGCCACTCGCCACACGGCGACCTAGGTAACCAAGTGCCTAAGGGTTCAGGCGAGTTACAAAACTGAATGACTCCACGAAACCTCCAAGGCCTCCAGAGCAAAACCGAAATGACTTGCCGCTGCATTAGCCCTTTAATCGCAAAGACACGAAGTGCAGAAACAACGTATTGGACAGCTTTAGCCATACTTAGGTTCTCAAAAGCAGGTACACCAGGTTGATCAGACCTGGCTTCCACCATCACGCATAGCTTCGTTGGCGTGTGTTTGCGTGCTGGCCGCATGCCCCCTGCTGAAAAAGGAAACAATCCAAAAGGAACCTTGTGACTCCAAAGGCTACACACACACACACACTCGAGATATTGCGTACAATTGAATGCCACATGCCACACGCCCACCTAGTTATGAACGCCTAAGTGTTCCAGGAAAAGGTATGTAATGCGGGCTGACCATCTTAGCGACACCAAAGTCCCAAAGCGCCAACGTCGACCAACTCTGCCAAGTGCGACAACTGAAAGCGACGCAAAGCGTGACTGCGGATGCAAACAGGTGCCTTCGAATGTCTTGTTCTAGTTAAAAGCAGGGACCTCTAGGAGTTTCCAAGTCAAAATGAAAACTGCAGGTACAGGAATGTGCGTCCACATTCCCTTCCGGTTGAATCCCATAGCTTCGATGGCATGGCTTGGGAAACAGCTGCCATGCCCCTCCTATAAATTCAATCAAAGGATTCCCTGTGACTGCAAGAGTTTCACACTCTGACATTGGTTTGCAGTTAACTCAATTCCCAGGAAAAATGGCGATGGAACCGAAAGGTGAAAGAGTCGGAGCACTTGAAGGTGTTTTAACAAAGGAGTTCACTTGACTGCGGAAGTTAGTTACTGCATTAGCCCTTTACTGCAAGAACGGTAAGGTGCAAGGGTCCGAAGAACAGAACTGTTTAACAAACGCGCTAGCACTTTACCAAAGCTAAGGAAACCTGTTTTGGGGGATATCATGCGAACAACCACCATGGAAACAGCAAAAGGAAAAGTGGAGTCTCAGCGTGTGCAAAAGTTTTCATCCGCGCTGGTACAGAAGTTTGCGTCCAAACTTCCATCCAGTCGATTTCCCTAGCTTCGTTGGCGTGACTAGGAAATCGACCGTCACGCACCCTGCGACTTAAAAGTTGAGAAAAACAGAAACTCTTAGTTACAGAGGTGGACACACACACAGAACGCCGATGCCGGCGCTCTGGGGGAACTTACTAATCACCTAAAAAGCCTTAGAGCGAAAGGAAAGAAAGACAGAAAGGAAAACGCAAAGGAAAGAGAGAAAGATAGGTGTAGTGACAAGGCCCACTAGTTACGAAACCTGCTAGTTACTGACTACTTAGCCGAATGAATTAAATGCAGTAGTTAGCAAGCGGGACATACGTCTTAAACCGCCCGGGTAGCTAGGAGTAGAAAAGGAGAAACAGAAGGAAAGGTACCGACGCACAAGTGTGTCGAGTACCATTTCCTTCTAGATAGCGGGTGGGAGAAGCACGAATTAGGTTGCAGGGTGGTGTGTGTGTGTGTGGAAGTGCAAGTGTGGACAGTAGCTTCACTGGTCTCAATTCCTCACATGGAAAAGCAGCACATGGAAATGTGAGTGGAGGTATTTCGTAAGCCCGACGGCATCAAATTCAGTAAATCCAGTAGTGAAACTAAAGCGGTTAAGAAAATCCAAAGAGAGGTGGAGAACGGTGGAGTCAGTTACACGATTTCCGGAACGAAAACAGCGCCTCCTTGCGGAGGATCACACCCAGCGCCCAAGTGGGACGACTGAGCAAGTCACACTCTGACATTGGTTTGCAGTTGATTCAATTCCCAGGAAAAATGGCGATGGAACCGAAAGGTGAAAGAGTCGGAGCACTTGAAGGTGTTTTAACAAAGGAGTTCACTTGACTGCGGAAGCTAGTTACTGCATTAGCCCTTTACTGCAAGAACGGTAAGGTGCAAGGGTCCGAAGAACAGAACTGTTTAACAAACGCGCTAGCACTTTACCAAAGCTAAGGAAACCTGTTTTGGGGGATATCATGCGAACAACCACCATGGAAACAGCAAAAGGAAAAGTGGAGTCTCAGCGTGTGCAAAAGTTTTCATCCGCGCTGGTACAGAAGTTTGCGTCCAAACTTCCATCCAGTCGATTTCCCTAGCTTCGTTGGCGTGACTAGGAAATCGACCGTCACGCCCCCTGCGACTTAAAAGTTGAGAAAAACAGAAACTCTTAGTTACAGAGGTGGACACACACTTGAGAAGGTTGAGAAGGTTGCTCCGTGGAGCTTGTCTTCAGGCAGTTCGCGGTGAGCATTAGCACTTTAGTGACTTTAGTGTTACTGCGAACTAGACCTTGACTAAAAAGAAAGTGCTGAGTCGGTCGACCAGAATGTTTGAACAAGTCGTTGAGAGTACTATTAAAAATTGCAGGTACAAGATACTGCGTCCAGTATCTCTTCCAGCCGAACACCATGGTGAACGGCCGCCGTGCCCCCTGCTGGTGCTGTACAAAGGTTCGTAAAGTCATAGGAAAAGAAATAGCTAGATTAGTGTCCTTGGAAACAGGAGTGGACACACACAAGAAGCCGAACACGGCGCAACTAGACCGGATCAGAAAATACATGTATGTCAAATAATGGAAGATCAGGACGTCGAAAAGAGAACTCAAGGAAGGTGAAGAACATGTGTATTACGAAGTGAACAGTAACTCTGCTGGCGGATCGTCTTTTTCTCCTTGGCCGCAGCGCCGCGGCGCAGTGTTCCTTTGAATGACCTTTTGTCATATAGAGCTGCATCAACTGCTGTGCTGTGGTTGGTACTAGCTGCTGTGGAAAAGTGTATTTTCGGAGTGTGTGGTGTCGTGATTGTAAGCCTGAAAGGCGTAGTCTGTGACTCCCCGCCGACTGTGGATCACGAATCTGCCAGGGGTGTGAGGGGAGTTGAAAGGTGACAGTTCTGTTGAGTGGATCAATCAGGACACCG